AGTCCCACGACACGTGAAAGACTGAGGAAGACGCCACTTAACACGGCCTCACTTCAGCCGCCATCTGAGGTGTCTTAGCCTCATTTTAGATGATTTGCGCCCCCTTTCGCTCTCAAGATCGTCGCACTTAGAGCAGTTGACTCTGTGGTTGCTGGACAGACGAGGAAACTGAGTCTAAAGCATTTGTTTGTGCTTTGGCCACGGCAGCGAGAGGGCGGAGGGCGTTTAAACTCTGATCCACCTGTTGAAGAGGCCAGGTCTTTGCTGCTACGGCCACCGGGCTCCTCCGAGATGTGCAGCCTCTTTGCTCTTCCTGAGAGCAGTTCTGGTTTATAAAGCAAGGTCTGTGGGCAGAGAGGTGCCCCATCCTCCAGCTGGGATCACTGGTGCCTGGGCTGAGCCCGGGCTTTTGGCTTCCTCCCTCCCATCAGAAAAGAATCAAACTGGGGGATTCCATCCTTTGTGGTCCAGTGTGTGGGTAAAGATAGCCACACTGCCTCCATCAGCATTTGCAAATTAATCCGCAAGTCATATGCACAGACACCTGATGCCCGATCACATGCTTCGTGCACCTGAATGTGAGTCCTGGGAAGCTTCTGGGTATTTGAGTTTGGGGAATGGGGGGGGGGCATCATATCAGACAGACACTTACCACCTCCATGCCTGCAGCCTTACAATATTCAGGCCCTGTTTCTCCCTGACCATCAATGAACTTTATTTTCCCTGCAGTTGTAGGAAAGGGAGGCTCTGTAGGAAACTTGGAAACCAAAATAATATTCTTTTGAAAAAAAACAAAAACTGCTATCAATTCCTTGTTTATTAGTTTTCCTTTATTTTTAGATCCATTTGCATGAAAGCGAGAGACTCTCACACCAAGCCCTCTTTATGATTGTGACAGAGAGGCAATAAGAGGGCAGGTTTTTCAGAAAAAAAAAAAAAAAGGAGAGGCTTGCTTTATTTAAGGAAGATCTGCAATGATGAGGAAATAATGCAAACAAACCACGCAGATTAGGAGATGGGCTGGGAAAAGTTCTATTTAGGGAGAAGGATTTTTCCCGTGTTCTTGGGGGAGGCAGGAAGGACCCGACAAGTGACAGTGGCCGTCCGTATCTGGAAGGAAAGCCGTTCTCCCGAGAGACGTGGTGCTCTTCTCTTCTCCCAGCCTGCGCTAGATTTCAGGTTTTGCGGTGGGAAATGGACAGGTGGGCCTCTTCTTTCCCACAATGGCATTGTGATAAATAAAATTAAAGTCCTGATTTAAACACATACAGGGAAGCCATTGGGAGCCGCGACTTCTGTTCTGGAGGGTTTTCTTCCTCCCAGTCCTGGTGGGCGTCGCGTGTGCCAGGCAGGAGCGGAGACCGATTTTGTCCTTCCTCACTGAAGCCTGGAAGAGGCTAGTCTCCTTTATCAGATGTGCGGTGGTTGGCTGTTTCCTTTTCTCCTCCAGCCGTGATATTTTTAACATTGACAGCCCCGTAGCGATCCAGGGTGATGAGAGAGAGACTGACATTTTAAAGTTTCAGAATGTGTTTTCTGACTCTTCTTTGGATTGCTAATGTGAATAATAATGCCATATTGAACACTTATCTCGGAGATGCGGTAGGAGTGGGGTAAACATCTCATAAATCTTCCTGGCACTGCTCGCTACAGCACGGCCAGTCTCGGAGCGCCCTGCCTCCTCCCTGCTCCGGGCTCCCCGGGCTGTCGCTGTTCTGGTGGAAAGCTGCTGGTGGCTGGTAGAGGAGAGGGTACTTGCCATGGGCCAGAGGCTCAGTGTCAGACAGAGCCTTCTCCATCCCCTTCCCTGGTCCCGCCTTCTCCTTTCTTTCTCCCATGGGTGGGGTTTTGGAGAAGTCCCCTGAACGTAGTGGGAAAGGAAGTCTGTTTTCTCCCAGGAAATTTGAAAATATTGGCCAGGGAAGCGGGAGAGAGAAGAGGGGGCGTGGATGGTGGTGGCGGTGGGCTTGGGAGCTCCTACATTTACTACGGAGGAAGAGTCTCAACACTCGTGTGCTTTTGTTTTTTGTTGTTGTTTTAATATGGGACTCGATTATTATGGTTTGTAATATCTTCTTTAGGGGAATGAAAGATACATTTCATTCCTTCTCATTTACCCAACATCCTGCCCTCTTAGGAGGTTCTTTAGTAAGAGATTTTCCCGGTCATTACCTTTGCCTTCCTAACATGCCTAATCCCAGGTGTCTGCAGCCAGGGTATGTTCTGTCGTACGGAGTGGAAACGACATTGGCTTTGGAGTGGATACATGGGCACCTGGACACTGGCTTTGCTGCTGGCTGAGCCAGCCGGGGCCCTCGGTCACTCTGCTTAGCCCCCCCTGGGTGTCCCGTTTCTCAGAAAAGGGGAGAGATGACAATAAAGGCTACCCATTGGGGCTGTCGTAAGGGGTCAGTGAGAGAATGTTACCAAGTGCCCGTCCTGGCACGGAGCAGGCAATTAATAAGTAAAACACACAAAAAAATTTCTTTTTCCCTTAGACATGAGTAAGACTTAGAGCATTTTTCCTAGGAAGTTGATAGTAGCTGTTATGTAGCAATAGGATTAGTAGTAAGAGTACTAGTACTGGCGGTACTAGTAGTAGTACTGGTGCTGGCAGTTATAGAAGTAGCAAGCCTTTAGCTTAGCTTCCACGTCAAAGTCCATAACGATTTCTCTCTGATGATCTTTGCTACTTAGCGGCATTTTTCCTACAGAAACTTCTCTATAAAATGTCCAATAACCTAATGAGAAGGCATTGTTTGCAGTAAAATTCATCCATACAGATGAATTTTCAGCTGAACGGATACTTTCCCCTCTGGGCAGCAAACAAAATAAAACTGAAGATGCATAATGATTTCATGGAGAGATTTCTAAACTAGTGTTTTTCTCCTTTTCCAAACAGAAAAGACTGAAAATTATTTAAACGTTGAATGAGGTGCCTCAGTGCCTCATTGTGCCTTACTGAAATCCATGGAAATTAGTGAGGTGTGAAGAAATGTTCTAGGGTGTGTGGCCCCCAAACTTTTGTAGTTCCAGTGGCTGCTTTTTATTCTTCTTTCTCTATCTCTGTTGCTGGCTGTCCTGGTCCTGCCAGGCCAACCTTAGAATACTCACATTGCTCGGGGAAGATTGGAAGGTGGCCACCACCAGGTCCCCATTTCCATTGGCGCATACAGACTTGTTTTTTTGGAAACAGAGTCTCACTCTGTTGCCCCGGCTAGAGTGCCATGGTGTCAGCCTAGCTCACAGCAACCTCAGACTCCTGGGCTCAAGCTGTTCTCCTGCCTCAGCCTCCCAAGTAGCTGGGACTTACAGGCATGTGCCACTATGCTCGGCTAATTTTTTCTATATATTTTTAGTTGTCCAATTAATTTCTTTCTATTTTAGTAGAGATGGGGTCTCACTCTTGCTCAGGCTGGTTTCGAGTTCCTGACCTTGAGTGATCCTCCTGCCTCAGCCTCCCAGAGTGCTAGGATTACAGGCATGAGCCACCACGCCCAGCCACGTACAGACTTTTAAAGTTATATATCTCCTTACTCATGAGCTTTTCTCATCTAATTCCAGAAAAATGAGTTCTTTCTTCATTTAAAAGTCTTGTCTTTGTAACTACTACCAGTTATAAAACAGAGCATCTGTCCTTTCTGTTCTCTTATGGAAACTGTGTTTGTGGTATATTTAAAAAAAAAACCAAAAAGTTACTGCAGTTGTTTTTGGTAGAATTTATCTGGTGTTCACCTTGAAAAGACATGTGCTCGTGGGCATTCTAAAGCAAAAAAAAGAGGATGGAAACTTCTGAAGTTATCTAAATAAATATTCTGGGTAGGCATTGCTATGAAAACAAAATTCAAAGCAGCTTTTGGAAATACCTGTCAATTATATTTTATATTTTGCTAAACTTGGGAAGTTGGCACATCAGATTAGTAGATGCTCTGGATGTGGGATTTTTCAATCTTGGTGACAGGTAAGATAAACCTCGGTCAACTTGCAGAGAGGCATAGCTTAGTCTTTCATCCTCTATTTGAAGGCAAAAAGATAGATGGAAATCTCTGGGTAGTGCGAATTCTAAGTATTTCTGTTGAGTTATAAATACCTCAAGGAAAAGAACCATCTTAGTTTTCTTTTTATTCACTTAACAAGTGTATACTGGCTTTTGAAGCAGGTTAGGGTAGAGTTCTGGGGTTGAAAATGTTTCGGGCTGGGAGTAAAAAGGCTGGGTTGAAAGTCCTGCTGTGTCCTTGTCTGATTCGCTGTAGGCCAGTTTCCCTCCACAAAGAGTTGAGTGGATGCTGGGCCCAGGTGCCATGACCCAGGTGGCCGTGCCAGGTGTGGTGGACATGGCTGAAAACCTGCCGGACACTCAGTCGCAGCCTCCTGGTCATTACTGGGCAGAGTTTCCTACACTCTGTCATTCCCCTTTCTCCTTTTAGAGTTTGACCACCTCTTCTTAAGACCTTATTATTTACTTCAATACATTTATGGTAATAAGAAATTTATAACAATTTTCATAAATAACATGGAACCAAAGGAACTGATCATGTTCAAGTCTGGCTAGATGCTGCTGCCAACCACAAGGTATCCGAAGAGGAACTCTGGTTCCCTTTTGTCACCTGTCGGAGGGCTACAAGGACACTCTAGGAGCAAACTGAGACTCTTCTGAAAACCATTAGAAGAGCTGTCAAGGGAGGAAGTAACTTTCTCACTAAGTTCTTTTAAACTGAGATATGAAGGTTGTTTTTTTGTTTGTTTTTTACGAGACAGAGCCTTGCTCCGTTTCCCAGGCTGGAGTGCAGTGATGTGATCACAGCTCACTGCAGCCTCCAGTGCCTGGGCTCAAGCGATCCTCCTGCCTCAGCCTCCTGAGTAAATGGGACTACAGGTGTGCACCACCACATTTGGGGGTTTTTTAGTTGTTTTTTTTTTTGTTGTTGTTGTTTTCGTAGAGACAGAGTTTCACTATGTTACCAGGCTGGTCTGGAACTCCTTGTCTCAAGCAATCCTTCCTCCTTGGCCTCCAAAATTGCTGGGATTGCAGGTGTGAGCCACCATGCTTGGCCTGAAGAGTTTTTGAAAGCTGGATTTAATAGTTGATTTTCTAATTCCACATGTTGAGGAGGGCTTCCTGAAGAAAGCCTGCACTGAGTCCGGTCTGGAAGAAGACTTTTGAAGTTGACTTGGAAGATAATTTGGAAGAAGGGCATTCCAGAGGGCCCATCATAAAATTGCTTCTATTTGATTTTGAAGTGTACAGTATTTCATATCTGGTATTAAATGTGGAAGTCTGAAATTCTGGAAGTTAAAAGCCGTTTCAGAAGAATATTGAGATGACATCACCCATGAAGACCTGTCATTAGGAAGAGCACAGGGAAAATGCCCTGATCAATGCTTTCACTTTTTGCTTTGGAAGAAACCACCACCTCTGGGAGTCAGGTCTCCAGTCTCACTACCTCCCCTGTTTCCCTGGAGCTTGCCTCTCCAGGGCTTTTCTAGAGGCTTGGGTTAACCAGTAAATCGAGGGTTTCGGAGATCTTCTCTAAGTTCCTGTTTAAGGTATGGTAGAAGATAATACCAGCCACTAGTTGAAAGTAACGTGTGTCGTTCACTTTATGTAGAAAGAAGCAAGCCCCTGCCCTCACGGAGCTCACATGCTAGGGGGGCAGAACCACGGCAACTTAAACTCATTTGCAGAGGTATCCTATTATTGAGTCATACAGAAGGTGGTGTAGGAAGGAGAGGGGTGTGGCACTAAAGGAGGCTGACCCTGCGCATGTGAGAATTAAGCGGAGTGAGACCTGAAAGGATCAGGAGGGAAAAATCTGGGAAGAAGGGGATGCTCAGAGAGACCCTCTGGAAGGAGTGGACAGAGAGTTAGGCCCATACTCCTGGACGGAAGAATCCCCCCTCTCTCCTAGGCGACCTCTCCCAGCCGGAGAGTCCGAGGCGGAATTCCAAGGGCTGTGTGACCGTGACTAAATGTCAGTAATTACTCAAAAGAGAAGTGCCCTTTGGCTGTGCGGTGGCAATATTGAACGTCCCATAATAGCTCATGGAGAGGGGGCAGTTTGGAGAGAATGAATATATTGGGGATTCTTTTTTCCAGTTAATGCACTTGAATTAAGTACCTTGGTGTACCTTTGCAGTATAAAATGAATGTAATAGTAAAAAATTAGAGCATTTTTCTCCTAGCAAGGGTCTTATTGGAACTTGAACTTGGAAAGCTACCTTCCCTGTCTTCCCAGCACCTGAAAAGTGTGACCTACTTATGCCCCAAAGATGATGGGCTTTTTAAGGAATTCCATGCTTCCTAATGATCTTGATTTTTGTCATTTAGAAGCATGGTTTTGCTACCTACAGGAATAAAAAAATAATAATAAAGAAGTCATCAGACTTGGCCTCCAGGCAATTTAGTGCTGCCTGTGGCTTCAAATACTTGGCATTTTAAACAGTCCTGCTGCCTTTCTTTTCCTTTTTTTTAAATTTATTTTTAACCATTCTGCCCTGCTTGTGGTGACTTAATACACCATGCCTAAATATCTATTCCTTGTTTGCACGGAAGTAGTGCACAAATTGGATCAAATAGAATTTCCTTTCTCTCTTGACAGCTTGGATTTTTCTTTTTTTAAGTGGCTTTGACAAGAGTCAGGGCCAAATTATTAAATCACCAGGTGACCCTTTCTGTTCATCAGCTGCTAATGAACTTAGAAAATTGAGATCTCATCTGGCAGACAAACTCATTTTGTTTGACAAACAACTTAAAAGTATTTATAAACAAGAACAAATTAATGTGTTTTTTTTCCCCAGTTGGCTCTGTGATCAGTACACATGGGTTTTAGAAGGTTTTTTTGTTTTTTGGGTTTTTTCCCAAACTTGTCAGAATTTTGTAGAAACCGGATTCCTGCCTGTCCTGGTGACTTCCGTTATGTACATTGTCAGTCTGGGGTAGCTGACACACAGGGGTCACTCTGGGATTAACTGGGGTAGGGTATTAGAAAGAGTACTTGTAGAACAGGTTGCCCAGGGCTTGACCAGTTAGTTACTCATCAAGTGAGTTTATAAGTTGTGTAACATCTGCATACCTGAGGTTCCCAATTCATAAAAATGGATAGCGAACTTAAGGAAAATAACGTGTGTATGCATATACAATGTATGTACATATATACTATATATGCAGATATAGCATGTATACTGTATGTTTGCATATATATAATATGAATATATATAGTTTGCATATTGTTTATGTGTTAATATGAACTCTGTGTGGGTTTGTGTGTGTGTGTGTGTGTATGAAATAAAGATTCGTTTTGTATTATTTGTACCTGAAAACAGAAAGACAGATTTTTTTGAGGGTATAATGCCACTTGTATTCTAAATTTTCAATATGTTATTCAATCTTACGCTGGAATATCTAAACTCTGAAATAGTTTATAAAGCAAATTAGGCATTAGAAATCTTTACCTTCTATTTCTGCTCCCTCAAATTTAAGTGATAATTTAGTAGTTCTTTAGTTAACGGGCAGGGGTTCCCGCTCTATAAACATGTGATATAGTGGAAAATAGACATTTTGGAGTCAGGTTTCTCACATTCTTGATCCATCACTTACTGGTTTTGGGCAAATTGCTTTATTTCCTTTTCTATAAAATGGGGGTAATACTACCCAATTTACAGGATTGGATTTTGGTAAGACAACGTATATCAAGCATTTAAAATACAGAGCGTGATACCGAGATACTGCTCAGTATGTGACAGAAAATACCACTACTAGTAGTAACGTTAGTGTTTTATTCATTAGCTATAAAGTAGTTGTTGCGATTGTTAAACACAACAGGAAAAGGATTATAATTATGCAGAGTCTAGGGGAAGCTCAAAGGAGTCTGGGTGGGCTTCACCAGAGAGGTGGCGCCTGAAGGATGGATGGAGGTTGTCATGAATCTGTCATGCACAGAAGGGGAAAAAAGGAAGAGGAGAGTGAGGGATTGCCTTAGGGATTCAGTATCGATTGGTTTTACCAACTTTGAAGCTCCTTAGAACGCAGAGGTCCTCTTTATAATCCACCGATGAAAGGCGACATCAGTCCCCTCCACTACCTGTTCCACAGCCCACGACTTTCGGGGGAGCCTGGTGACCAGCGACCTCCAGGAGCCCCTCCGCAGGTTGTCAGAATCATGCAGTGGCAGGAACGCTGCCCTTCTCTGTTCTGCCACCGTATCCTCCGTCCCCAGCTGGGTTGCAGCACAATTTCTTGTACGTCGTAGCCCACTATTTTATTTTATTAAACTAACAGACAAAAATCAAAAACAAAAACAAAAAACCCTCTGCTTGGAGTAGCAGACACCTCTCTTTCCTTTTACGGAAAATCTGCGTGCCAGTTTTTCATATCTCAGCCTTCTTTCCCTTTTCCCCATGACCTGACTCCAGTGTGGCTTCCAGGAAACCTCAAACTGTTCTTCTAGAAAATGTTCTTTTCCTGAAAATACATAGTCTCTGCTTATAGTGACTCATTCTTTGATGAGAGAGACCCAGATCAAGCAAATGATCATTTTTTGCTAAGTGCTGTGATGGGAGACCTAGAAGACAGGCATTTGGCCCCTCACATAGGATCTTAGGGAATCTTCTGACCTTTTGGAGACTTAGTCTTTTCATCTGAAAATTGGGAACCATAGATAGCATTTATATCACAGGGTTATTACGCAGATTAATTAAACCAGGCGTCAAGCACTGCTGTGTACTGCCCAACACGCTTAGGCTCTGGAAATTACTCAGGAAAAATAAAGGTGATTAGTAGAATTTCCCTCTTTTTTAAAAAAAAGTCTTGATTCTTTATCTTGTAGTCACTTCTCTGTGTTGTGAGCCCTGATGCTTCATGGTTCTGATGTTACTGATTATTGTGTTTTTTGTTTTAGGAATAACTCTCATACTATAAATTTCACCCTTTCCAAAGCGGGGAGAGCTTCAGTGGTTTTTAGTAAATTCACAAGGTTGTATGATTGTCACCATTCTCTAATTTCAGAACATTTTCCTCACCCCCAAAAGAAACCTCATACCCACCCACAGTCTCTCCCATCCTCTCTGTGGATTGGGACTGGGAGATGCTTGAAGAGTTTCTCTCCTGCCTGTCTGGAATGCTTCCCAATCATGAATCTTGCTCTATTTCAGTCCTTTAAACATTTTAAAAAATGTGACTTGATTTGATGATGATGAAGAGGAGGAGGAGGAAGAAGGTAAAACAGAAGCAGCAGGACCAGGAGACTAGAACTCAGATTCTAGACTTAGTTCCTTCCTTGGTTCTCTGGTTAACTCTGCACATGTCATCCTTTGTCCGAGCCTCAGTTTCCCTATCCAGATAATTGGTATTGGGCTAGAGAGCAGCCCCCTCCCCAAGTTCTCTTTCAGGCTTAAACTCAGCGATCTTTGTCTGCATGCATATATATATATTTATATTTGCTTTTAACATGTGCTGGTTCTTTAAGTCTCTTGCTGCTTTTTCTTATCCGCAGAGCTGGCATTGCTTTCTATTTTTAGTTTCAGTGTTCTATATAAATATGGAAATAAATAAATTCATATATTTATTTGTGTGTGTATATATATATATAAAGCAGTGGCATTTTTTCAGGCCACTAGCCCATGAGGACTAATGAGATCATTTATGTAAATTACTTAGCACAGGGTTTGGCACACAGGTATGTGCTAGACAGGTATTTTTTGCCAGGTGAGTGATGGGTCACCCTGGGTGGACTAGTTGACATTTGCTCACGTGGAACTCGTTCAGTGAGTTGTCCCGAATGTTCCCAGCTGTAAGCTGCCTTCGATCTTTGGTTGGGGCCTCTGCTGTCTGCTTTCTTTCCTGCTTTGCCTTCACTGGTTTCTGAAACGTGTCAGTGTGAAATTATAGATTTGGAAAAACAAATGCTGTGAGAGGAGCAATTTACCTTACCCTGCTCTCTTTCGGTGGCGTGGGAAATGAAAAACGTCCAAACTAAGACAAATTTATTGGATACCAGGACCACCAGGCTATTGATTCTTAAAGCCAGACAGCAAGATTATGAATTGGGTGACAAAACTGGAGAGCATTTAGCTTGACTCCTAAGACGGGGGCATCTTTGTGTGCTGTTGCAGCCCTTGGGTTCTCTTGCCGGGCCCACGGCTAATGAACCAGCACTTATTAACCGGAGCGTGTCCTTGATGTGCCACTTCTGTCTGCTGTGTCGTGTGAGTGAGATATAGCCGGACAGTTTGACGTTTTCTGTAAAAGGTTGGGTGCCAGAGACTTAATCCCTAACTTCGAAGGTGGCAGAAACATTGGCTGGAAGTTTTTCACCTGGAGTGAGAAAAAGCAAGAGATTGTTCTAAGCCGTGAATAGTTCTGTACCTTGGCAGAGGAGGGATTTAGATCTCTGGATGGATTTTAGGACGGATAAGCAGACGCTGTGTTTCAGGTGTTAGAGATTAGCTGTGGAGCCCACGCTTGCTTTAGTGTGGATGCCCAGAGACGGTGAGCATCCGGCTGCATCGGAGTTCGTGGCTGGCCGAGACTTCCTGCAGCCTGGCCTTGTGCTCTTTCCTTCACCCTGTGTAGCATGTCGAGGCCTGTGGCAGCTCTCAGGGCTATCCTGTCTGTCCTCCAGCTGCTCAAGTCTGTCCTGCTGCTCTTTGACAGGTGGCCTCTGGGGACTGGGGACCCCTGACCCCATGGAACTGAAATGCCTTTTCCTGATTGTCTAACGGTGGTTTCCTTTCTTGATTTTTGCGTGATGGTGCAGGTAACATTTATGGGTTGACTTGTGTCCCTCCAAAATTCGTATGTTGAAGTCCTAGCCCCCAGTACCTCAGAATGTGACCTTATTTAGAAATAGGGTTGTTGAAGATGTGATTAGTTAAGATGAAATCATACTGGATGAGACTGGGCCCCTAATCCATGTGATTGGTGTCCTTATAAAGGGGGGAATTTGGACACAGGGACAGTGCCATATAAAGACTG